GGGGGTGGGAAGGAGAGAGAAATAGGGAGGGGGAGGGGAGGGGAAAACGCAGGAGAGGGAGAGGAAAACGCAGGGGGAGTGGGGAAGGGAGAGGGTGGGAAATGGGAGCCTGCCCTGCCCTGGAGCTCCCTTAGAGGGAGTATGCTGCTGATGTAGAGGTAGCCCTAGTTACGTACGTACTAACTTAACTTGCTTGTTTGTGATTTCGTACGTATCAATGCAGCGAACCATTTGAAAGGGCGGGGAGAGGGAAGAGGGAAGAGGGAGGGGGAGACGGGTAGGGGTTAGGGAATAGGGAATGGAGATAGTGAGGAAGAATAAGAGAAAATGGTAGAGTAGAGAGAGAGTGGAAAGGAGAGGATATTTTGAGATTACTAAAAACTAGGGAAAAGATCCAGAACCAACAGAAATAAGAGAGTAAGAAACAGGGTGATGGTAGGCACTCACGAGCTCAATGGCTTTGAGCAGCACGTTGCCCCCGTGGGAGTGGGCGATGACGTGGATGCGCGCTGAGGGGTCGCCGTGCCTTATCACATCCAGCAGGCACGACAGCTGCGGGAGTGCATGCAGGCAGGATGTACACGGCAAGACATATAGCGGCGGAATAAGGAGCCAAACAGGGGAGACACCAGGGGAGAGAGGCAGAGAGGAGGGAGAAGAGGTAGATGAGGGGGGAGAAGAGGAAAAAAGAGGAGAAGGGGTGAGTAGGTGAAGAGGGAGGAAGAGTGGGGCAGTGGGTGGGTGGGTGGGGGGGAGTGGAGAAGAGGCGAATGGGGGGAAATCGGAAAAAAGGAACAGAAGAGAAAGCAAGGAGTGGTGGTGACTGTGCTGACTGGCGTTGATAGGTGAAGGGGGAAGGGGAGAACTGGGGGTGAACTGGGGGGGAGGACTTGATTTTGCGGTGTAAGTTGGATATTGAGGGGAAAAATAATGAGAACAGCATATGCAGATCTTCTTTGGAGAAATCTCACGGCTGCTTGCTTCAGGAGTAGATACAACGTTGATTACTTGGTGTGCAGCGTCGATGCGCCCTTCATGCCTGTTCGTGCCGTCCCAGTGAAACGGATACGGGATGCGAAGTCGCGGAGGCGGCTCCGCCGGCAGCTCGCGCCACAAGCATCCGTCGCCGAGTGGCCCCTCCGCGAGAAGCGCGCCGAGCTTGTTGCAGAAGTTGCTGTCACCGCGCGCCGCGGGCTGGTACCACGGCGTGCGCGGTCCGTTGGCCGGCGGTGCGAACGTGCCGTGGACGACGATGACGTAGTGCGTTTCTTGCGACACGTCGAACGACACCGTGCGACAGCTCGCTGGCGCCTCGGGGTCCACATCCTCGTTATTACGACTCGGATTGCTACATGATGCGAGATAAACACACCCGGAAGAATTACCGGAGCCTGTTGATTCATCAAAAGGCGTTTCATAAGTCGCTGCGGCAGACATGAGCGCACCTGATGACCCGCAGGGCTGCTGTTAGAGCACTACTACGAGAAGTAAACTTCCAGACCTAACGAAGTTCTGAAGACATTGCCAGCAAGCTTTACTAAAGCGTTCATAGTAGCTCGTTCGGATTGTCGGAATCGGGGGCATAAAGCGAAGCGCGCCAAAAGTGAGGAAGATATCGGCCCCATTCCGCCGATCCCCCCCCTTTCGCCCCTACGGGATATCCCTCGCGTCATTGTGTTTCTGACGCAGTCGTGTAGCGGAGCACGCGAAGGGCGGGAGCCGACCCCCTCCGCCGGCCCGGAGTGACCCCCGCCAGCTCGGAGTGACGTGCAGTGGTCCCCGCTCGAGCTGGCGATGACGCCAGCTGCGTCCCCACGCCGCTTACCTAGGGGATCCGCCTCGGTTGATGGATTCCGTCTAGACTCCAGAAAGCGGTGCAAAGAAAGCGTGGCAGAAACGCGCCACAGAGCAGCTCGATACAAAACATGAATCTGAAAAAAAAGCGTGTATGAATCTGAAATTATTAAAAACATAAACTGCAAAAGGAAAAGCTAGGAATTGGAGGCCCTGTAAAAATTGGGCAAACCCCCCAGTGAAAATTTCTAATATGCAATATGCTCACATTTGCGCACGCATTGTCAGATGGGTGGTTCTGATGATAAACTACAATGGGTTTTGCGAATGCTCTCTGATTCTCAATCATGTCATGAGATTCAGACAAGACGAGCCACTCCAAGGATTCCTCGTACATGGATGCAGCTGCCTCGCCATCCTCTCTGACCTTGGATGGATAAATCACAAGCTGTGATGAGTTGTAAAGTAGAAGTACAATGTACATAAACATACATGTACAAAACTTTGTCTGGGGTCCACCATGTTGGGCTGAACGCCCTATGATCTTTGGTAGAGTTAAAGTCTGAGTAAACAATGTGGTGGCGGAAGCGTTTTTTAGTAAAGTCCTTGAACCACCTTGCGCTGATATGTGAGGGCAAAGTAAGTTGATTGAAGCAAAGAGATACAAGATTATATATATGAATACAGAGAATAAGAACAGACGTAATTATAACTATTTTACTGTAGCCGTTCGATACAGTACGACTCGCGCAACTGCTCAATGTCGAGTCAGTTGTGTGTCCTTGCTGTCGCGCTGCATTTGTCAAGTCAAAGGTCGCTGACTTTTGACTTTCGCGTAACCTCCAGCGGTTACATCAACCTCCGAGGGTTGACTCGCTGGTGCTTCGATATGCGCTGCTTCGCTTGTGTCTTGGAGTTTCGACACGACAGAGACGCTTAAGACTGTTTGTTCCCAACACTCCCCTTCGCTTCTGGAGTGTTACTGATGGTGACGTGGCTTTGTCCAGTCAGCAGCATGCAGTACTCGAACTTCTGTTTTCCGAGTTTCTTGGTCAAGTAGTCAGCTGCCATCTCGGACGTGGGACAGTAGGATAGTTCGAGTTTCCCTTTCTCGATCTCGTCTTTCACGAAGAAATATCGCAGAGCGATATGCTTCGTTCTGTTCGCGAATCCGCTTTTTTTGGCGATGCGAATCGCAGATTGGTTGTCGCAGAACAGAGTGAAGTTGGGTAACTCGGCTAACTTCGCTTCTTCCAGTAGCTCGCGAAGATAGAGTCCTTCCTTGGTGGCTGAGCAGAGTGCGATATATTCTGCTTCAGCTGACGAGAGAGCGATTAGTTCCTGCTTGCTCGATTGCCAGGAGATAGGTCCGATAGGTTCGAGGCGGTAGATGTAGCTAGTGCGGGAGCACCTGTTTTCTGAGTCGCCGGCGTGGTCGGCGTCGACGTAGCCGATTAGTTTCGTCAGTGTAGTTGTGTTCTTGTAGTATGTTAGGCCGATCGTTGAGGTGCTTACGAAGTAGTGGAGAGCGCGGTCGAGCTCCATCAGGTGTTCTGCTTCGGGTCTTTTGAGGTAGGTGGCGAGTTGACTTGCGGAGTAGGATAGATCTGGGCGGCAGGTGACTGCTGCGAAGAGAAGGCAGCCCATCTTTCTCTGGTAGTCGCGTATTCTGGCGGTTTTGAGTAGAGAGGACCCTTCATTGTGGTTTCCTGTCGTGTAGCGGTAGGGCGTAGAGATGGTGGTAGGTGTGAGCGCGAAGCGTTTGGCGATGGTGTCGGTGTATTTAGCGGCGTTGAGGTAGATCGCACCTTCTTCCTCCCGAATGTTCAAGCCGAGGTACTGTGTGAGGTCCCTCTGTAGTGTCAGAACATTATAGCTTACTCTTTTCTGTAGGCTATAGTGGGGTATCCCATAGGGGGTACAACCCAATTAGGGTTTCATATTTGTACTCACTTCATTTCATAGTTCACTCATTCTCGTTCGTTTCTCCTCATGGTATCAGAGCAGGTTCCCCTGTGGGACCTGTGCTTAGGGCCCACCACTACTTAGATTTTTTTTTTTTCTGCCCTAGCCGCTAGCGCGCCGCCCGCCCTAGACCGTGAGCGCCGCCCCTAGCGCCCTAGCGCCCGTCTGTTACCTGCCCTAGCGCGCCCGGGCCCCCACGACTTAACGCCGCCCCTAGCGCGAGCCGCCCGACGCGCCACCCTGGCGCCGCCCTAACGCCGCCCTAGCGCCGCCCGACGCGCCGCCGTATCGCCACCCGTCCAGCCGCCCTAGCGCCGCCCTAGCGCCGCCCTCGCGCTACCCGTGCAGCCGCCCGTCGCGCTACCCGTGCAGCCGCCCTAGCGCCACCCGTCGCGCCGCCCGCTGCCCGCCCTAGCGCCGCCCGGTGTGCTGCCCGCTGCCCGCCCTAGTGCCGCCCATCGCGCTGCCCACGCGCCGCCCTAGCGCCGCACGACGAGCAGCCCGTGCAGCCGCCCCTGTGCCCGCCCCAGCAGCCGCCCGTGTACCCGCCCGTGCACCAGCCCGTGTACCCGCCCGTGTACCCGCTCGTGCAGCTGCCTCGGCCGCCCGTGCACGCCGCCCCAGCCGCCCGTGCAGCCGCCTCGGCCGCCTGTGCACGCCGCCCCAGCCGCTCGTGCAGCCGCCTTAGCCGCCAGCGAGCCGCCTCGGCTCCCCGTGCAGCCGCCCGTGGGCCGCCCGCTCGCCCCACCCGTCGCCAGTGCAACTGCCTCCGAGCCGCACCAGCCGCCCGTGCAGCAGCCCGCGAGCCGCCCCAGCCGCCCGTGCTGCCGCCTGTGAGCTGCCCGCGAGTCGCCCACGCCGCCCGAGCCGCCCGCGCCGCCCGAGCCGCCCGAGCCGCCCGACCCGCCCGACCCGCCCGAGCCGCCCGAGTCGCCCGTGGAGCCTGAGCTCCTACCCCTGTGGGGTGGCTGCTGCTCCTCGGCCGTGTTGCTGTGCCGCTGAGTGACCCGACTCTTCCAGCCCGGTGAGACTGTCAGCTGCTGTTATGGCCACCCCCAGTGTCCTGACTTTTGACGCTGAGGGTCGCGCCATTGACTTTGCAGTCTGGATTGAGGACCTGCAGCTGTACTTACTGTGCGATGCGATAGATGAGGTTTCTCTCTTTGACTTTGTCTCTGGCGCTGTCCCTGCCCCTCCTGCTGATGCTGACCCCGCCGTTCGCTCCAAGTGGGCGACACGCGATGCTGCTGCACGTCTTGCTGTGCGTCGCCACCTCCCTTCCTCCGAGCGTGCCCACTTTAGCCAGTGCAAGACCGCTCAGGCCTTGTACGACGCTGTAGTTGCGCGCTACTCCTCCCCTTCCTCTGCTACGCTGAGCCGCCTCATGCTACCGTTTCTCTTCCCTGACATCGCTACCTTTCCCACAGTCGCTGACCTCGTTACCCACCTCCGCGCTAGTGACACTCCCTACCGCGCTGCGCTTCCTGCTGAGTTCCGCGCCGCAAACCCTCCTCCCATGTACATCACTCTCTACTTTCTAGTCACCCGTCTCCCTGAGTCCTTTCGTGCCGTTAGGGACCAGTTTCTCTCTGTCTGTCCCACCACCCTCACTGTCGACCTCCTTGAGAAGTCCCTGCTAGCGGCTGAGAAGAGCATAGTCGCTGTAGGGGCCTCTCGTGGTGACTCTCGCTCCCCCATCTTTGAGGGGTGTTCTCCTTCCCCCCTGCTGCCCTCTGTCGCCTCTGCTGCTGCGGCCGACCTCGCTGGTTTTGAGTCGGTCGGTGCCGCGTTTGCCCCCAGCGGTAGGCGCCGCTCTGGCAGGGGCAAGGGGGGCAAGGTAGCGGGTGGAGCTAGCGGGGGCAGTGGCGGAGGAGGTGGGGGCGGCGGGGGGAGTGGGGGTGGCGGTGGAGGTGGTGGCGGGAGTGGAGCTACTGGTGGCGGCGATGGAGGCGGAGGTGGCGGCGGAGGTGGTAGCGGAGGAGGCGGTGGGAGCGGTGGGGGCGAGGGTGCTGGTGGGGGCGGTGGCGGTGGAGGCGGGGGTGGCGGTGGGGGCGGGGGCCGGAGTGGCTCGTCCCAGCGGAGCAGCACTGGGGGTGGTCAGCGCCAGCAGCAGCAGCCACAGCGGCAGCAGCGCTCTCGCGCCGTCCAAGCCCCTCAGCAGCTCCGTGAGTGGTACTTGCAGCGTCAGCGTGGTGGGGCGTTTGGTCCGTGCCCCTACGTTCTTCGCACCGGCGACCGTGCGGGTGAGCAGTGTGGAGGCACCCACACCGCCCGCCGCTGCTTTGGCCGCCTGACCGACGCCTGGCGTCAGCAGTTTCCGGAGGCCGCTGAGATCCCCCGCTGGGGAGAGCTGTCTACGGCTGGTGTAGCTATTTATGATCTTGACTTTGATGCTATCCTTACTGCTATGTATGCTGTGACTGGTAGTGATGAGGATGACTGTTACCGGTGTTTCCCGCCCGACCCGGGCATTGGTACTGCTGCTCTAGGTGCCAGTGAGGCTGCTGCTCTAGGTGCCACTGAGGGTGCTGCTCTAGGTGCCAGTGCGTCTGTACTCTCAGGTACTGGTGAGGCTGAGCTCTCAGGTACTGTGTCGGCTCCGGCCTCTCACACCTTCACCCTAGACTCTGGGGCCTCTCGCTCCTTCTTTCGGGACCGCACCACTCTCACGCCGCTTAGTCGGCCGGTTGCGGTGTCCCTGGCTGACCCCTCTGGGGGTCATGTCCTGTCTCGCTTCTCCACAGTCCTACCGTGTCCGGCGGCCCCCTATGGCACCCTGTCTGGTCTCTACCTCCCCTCGTTCTCTACGAACCTGGTGAGTGGTGCTGACCTACAGGATGCGGGTGTCCACCAGTTCACTCCTGCTCGTCAGCGGGTGACACACTGCACAGAGGCTAGCACAGGTCGCCACCTGGCTACGTTTACACGTCACCCAGGGTCGAGCCTGTACACACTGACCACTGCTTCTCCTCCAGGTGCTGAGTCTGGTAGGGTCCCTTCGTCTGGTCAGGTGTTTGCTGCAGCGTCCAGGTCTGGTCCTGAGTCTGCCCCCTGTTCGTGTCGCCGTCTGTCGTACGAGACCCTCCTCTGGCACCACCGCCTTGGCCACCCCTCTCTGCTTCGGCTCAGAGGCATGGCCTCCCGTCTTCTTGTGTCTGGTCTACCCCGGTCCCTCCCTCCCCTTCCTCAGGGCCCTGGCCCTGCCTGTGTCCCCTGTGTTGAGGGGCGCCAGCGTGCTGCCCCTCACTCCTCCCAGTTTCCTCCGACAGAGGCCCCGTTGCAGACGCTTCACATGGACGTGTAGGGCCCAGCCCGCGTCCGTGGACAGGGTCAGGAGCGCTACTTCCTGCTCGTTGTTGACGACTACTCGCGATACACCACAGTCTTCCCCTTGCGCAGCAAGAGTGATGTCACTGCGGTGCTGATCGATTGGATCCGCGCAGCTCGTCTCCAGCTTAGGCAGAGCTTTGGCTCTGACCTCCCTGTTTTGCGTCTGCACTCGGACAGAGGCGGAGAGTTCTCCTCTGGCCTTCTGCGTGCCTACTGTCGTGCGCGAGGCATCCGTCAGACCTTCACGCTTCCGGACTCACCGCAGCAGAATGGGATTGCAGAGCGCCGCATTGGCATGGTTATGGACGTCGCTCGTACTTCCATGATGCATGCGGCAGCTCCCCATTTTCTGTGGCCGTTTGCGGTCAGGTACGCGGCGCACCAGATCAACCTCCACCCCAGGGTCTCCAGACCGGAGACCTCCCCAGCCCTGCTGTGGACAGGGAAGGTTGGCGATGCGTCGGCGTTCCGGGTCGGGGGATCTCGGGCGTTTGTTCGCGACTTGTCTGCGGACAAGCTGTCCCCTCGCGCTGCTCCCTGCGTCTTCCTGGGGTTCCCCCCCGACGCCCCTGGGTGGCAGTTCTACCACCCCACCTCTCGACGTGTTCTGTCCTCCCAGGATGTCACGTTCCACGAGTCGGTACCCTACTACCGCCTCTTCCCCTACCGCACTCCGTCCCTCCCCCCGCCCCCGCTCTTCTTGGTACCAGGTCCCCCCCCGGTAGACCCCCTCCCCCCTCAGGGTCCTGCCCCTTCAGGTGTGTCCCGGGTAGACGCGGTCGAGCCTGTCGAGGTCACTGGTGACTCTGGTGCTGCTGCGGGAGCTGAGCCTGGGGGTGCTGGGACTGGAGGCGCTACGCTTGGGGGTGCTGAGCCTGGGGGTGCGGTGTCTGGGGGTGCTGAGCCTGGGGGTGCTCGGTCTGGGGGTGCTGGGCCTGGGGGTGCTGAGCCTGGGGGTGCTGAGCCTGGGGGTGCGGTGTCTGGAGGTGCTGAGCCTGGGGGTGCTGGGCCTGGGGGTGCTGAGACTGGGGGTGCTCCGCCTGACGGTGCTTCATCTCGCCGAGAGCCGCTCTCCCCACAGGAGCTGCGTGAGTGGTTTGCCCGGCGCTGGAGGCGTGCTGCTGGTGCTAGCGCTTCTTCGGCTGTAGAGGGTGCTGCTGCCGAGCGTCCCGGAGGTGCTCGTACTGTGGGTGCTGGAGCTGCTGGGTCTGAGGGTTCTCCTGGAGCTAGTGCTGCTGAGGGTGTTGGCGCTGAGACTACCGCTGTCGGTCCGACTGGCAGTGCTCCTGGTGGTACTACTGGAGGTTCTGGTGCTGCTGGAGGTGCTACTGGAGCGGGTACTCCTCCTGGGGGTACTGGTGCTGTCCCTGCTATTTCTGGCGTCGCCACGCGGCCCCGACCGTACTTCGTTCCGCTCCTGCAGCAGGTTCTTGGTCTTACACCTTCTCCTGGTCCTCCTCCTCCTCCCTTAGAGGGTCCGCAGCCTGTCTCGTCACAGACACAGCTACAGCTTGCCTCCCCTTTGCCTGCTCCTTCTCCCTACGCTGGTCCGACTTGAGGTCTTACTGAGCGTCGTGAGCCTGCGTCTCGTCCTGCGTCGCCTGTTCGTGCTGCGCGCGCTAGTGGTCGCGGTTCGCGTCAGCGTCCTCCTCCTGTCCCTGGCACGCACCGGATGTCTCTGCGTCCGTCCACTGCTCCTCTGCGTGCCCCTTTGCCTTCTCCTCCTGCTTCCTCTCTTCCTGCTCTTGCCGACCCGGAGTCAGACTCTCTTCGTGCTGCCAGTCCTACTGTCACGCGTCTCCTCGCTACTGCTGTCACTGACCCTTCTTTCGAGTCGTCTGCTGCGTCTGCCCTTGTCACTGAGCTCGTCGACTTTGCTGCGCGCTGTCGTCTGGACTACGCTGCTAGTCTTGTCGCTGAGTCTGAGTCGGCCTGTCCTCCGTCCGTCGGGGGTGAGTGTGCCCTTGGCACGGACGTCCTTGAGGACAGGCAGGAGGAGTTCCACTGTCTGGCCGCCGCTTCACCTCATCTCGCGTCTGTACTGCTAGCCCCTGAGGGAGTCCCGGATGCACTAGACATCCCGACTCCGCGCTCTTACGCGGAGGCCGTAGAGGGTCCCTACTCCTCTCAGTGGCAGGCAGCTATGGATGCAGAGATGGCTTCCTGGAAGTCCACAGGCACCTACGTTGACGCTGTTCCCCCTCCTGGGGCGAACATCATCAGTGGCAAGTGGATCTTCAGGGTGAAGCGGCCGCCGGGTTCTCCGCCTGTCTTCAAGGCGCGTTACGTGGCTCGTGGCTTCAGTCAGCGGCAGGGAGTTGACTACTTTCAGACCTTCTCCCCCACCCCGAAGATGACCACTCTTTGGGTACTACTGCACGTTGCTGCTCACCGTGACTACGAGCTGCACTCTCTCGACTTCAGCACTGCTTTCTTGCAGGGTAGCCTGCACGAGGAGATCTGGCTGCGTCGCCCACCTGGCTTCACTGGGTCTTTCCCTCCTGGTACCCAGTGGAGTCTCCGGCGTCCAGTCTACGGTCTCCGCCAGGCGCCACGTGAGTGGCACGACACACTGAGGACTACTCTGGCGGCACTTGGGTTTGCTCCCTCTACTGCCGACCCGTCGCTGTTTCTTCGCACCGACACCTCTCTGCCGCCGTTCTACATCCTCGTGTACGTCGACGACTTGGTCTTTGCCATTGTTGACACTGCTGGACTTGCCTACGTGAAGTCCGAGCTGCAGAAGAGACACACGTGCACTGACCTGGGTGAACTGCGCAGCTACCTTGGCTTGCAGATCACCCGGGACAGAGCACGCCGCACCATTACCTTGACTCAGTCACACATGGTGCAGCAGGTCCTTCAGTGCTTCGGCTTCACGTACTCCTCGCCTCAGGCCACTCCTCTGCCTACTCGCCACTCGCTCTCAGCTCTGCCTTCGGATGAGTCCGTAGAGTCGAGTGGCCCGTATGCAGAGCTTGTTGGCTGCCTCATGTACCTGATGACCTGCACACGACCTGACCTTGCATACCCTCTTAGCATTCTCGCACGCTATGTTGCTCCTGGGAGACACTGACCAGAGCACATGGCTGCAGCGAAGAGGGTGTTGCGCTACTTGTGCAGTACGTCGGGCATGGGGCTAGTGCTTGGAGGGCGCAGTCCAGTGGTCCTCACTGGACACGCGGACGCTTCTTGGGCTGACGACCAGGCTACGCAGCGGTCGTCACAGGGTTACACCTTCAGCCTTGGTTCCGGTCCTGTTTCGTGGCGGGCTACCCGCTCGTCTTCTGTTCTCGGCTCCAGTTGTGAGGCTGAGATCTACGCCGGGGCTATGGCTGCACAGGAGTTACGCTGGCTCACCTTACTGCTGACCGACCTTGGAGAGCCGCCTCGTTCTCCTCCAGTCCTGTACGTCGACAACAAGGCCATGCTGGCCTTGTGTCGAGAGCAGCGACTGGAGCACAGGACAAAGCACATTGCTCTCCGCTACTTTCTTGCTCGTGAGCTACAGCAGCGTGGACAGTTGCGACTTGCGTACGTGGCCTCTGAGGCCAACACTGCTGATGTCTTCACCAAGGCACTTGCGCCTTGTGATCATCAGCGTTGTTGCACGCAGCTGGGTTTTGTGCCTGTCTTGCCTCACTTGCTCACTTCTTGACTTTGCTTGTACCTTCACCTATATATACTCTTGCTCTTACTTGCTTGACTCTCGTATATCTTTATATATATGATCTTGCATGTGAACTGGCCTTGTGGCCCTTGAACTTGTGCTCGGAATGTGTGGTGACTTTGTGATCCACCCTGAGCTTTGCTTTGCTTTGCTTGACTGGTCTTGTGACCCCTTGTTCTCCCCCACTTTGCCTATGGGGGTGTGTCAGAACATTATAGCTTACTCTTTTCTGTAGGCTATAGTGGGGTATCCCATAGGGGGTACAACCCAATTAGGGTTTCATATTTGTACTCACTTCATTTCATAGTTCACTCATTCTCGTTCGTTTCTCCTCATGTAGCTCCCCTTCGAACCAGGTGGTGATGTCGTCGGTAGAGCCGATGTAGAGTAAGTCGTCTACGTAGACGATCAGCAGGATGTAGTCAGCGCTTTTGGTGAGTCGGTACATCCCTTGATCGTGAGGCAGTTGGCGGAATTCGATGCGAGTGAGTCGAGCGTGTAGGTACTGTTGCCATAGCCGCGGGGCTTGCTTGATCCCGTAGAGCGATTTTAGCAATTGACAAACTTGGTTGGGTTCCCCGTGGGTACCGTGTGGAAGCTCGACGAAGATTTCCGCGTCGACGGGTGCGTAGATGAACGCGTTGGCGACATCGATTTGCCGTAGTTTCTTCTTCTTCATAGCGGCGATCGCGAGGAGAATTCGAAGTGAGGTATGTCGGCTGACCCGGGCAAATGTCTCGGTGAAGTCCCGTCCGTGCTCCTGATCGAATCCACGCACGACCCAGCGTGCTTTGAATTTCTCGATTGTGCCGTCTGCCTTCGTTTTGATGCGAAAGACCCATTTCCCGGTGAGAATGGTCTTGTTCCTTGCCACGCTGATGGGAACGACTTTCCAGGTGTTCCGTTCCTCCAGCGCTTTTAATTCTTTGTCCATGGCTTCACGCCATTTTTCCTTGTGTTCCCCCCCCAGAGCCTGCTGAACTGTCGCAGGCTCTTTAGGGAGAGCGTTGCCGTGGACTGCGGTGACGAGGCCTAGAATCTGCAGTCCAATCTGTGAGTAGCGGGGAAGAGTTGCGTCCTCGGGATAAGCTGCTTCATCTCCCGCTTCTGGGTCGGGTATGAAATTCGGCCCTATCCGTTCTGCTTCGTTGGTGTTGACTGTCGCAGGTGTTACGTAACCGTTGTCGGCGAAGTGGTAGAAGACTTCGGCGTTGGCGCTTTCGCGAGGGTTTTCTTCGTCCATGGGGACGTTGACGGAGCAGAACGGAAGAGGTCCGGCTTCTTCTGATGCGTTGTCCACATTT